CCTCGGCACCCTGCTCCAAAGCCGGTTAAGCCCTCCCCTCAGGGTGGACGCCATCACCGAGGAGAAGCCTCCCAACTTCAGAACCCCCAAAAGAGCCAGGCCTCATCCCCGGGCCTAGGAGAAAGAAAAATCACCCCCGCCTCGCAGCTCGCCGGTGGGTCGGGAACCTCGCCCGCCAAGTCAGTATCTCGGCACTCCAAGTCTGAGCTCCCGCTGACAGAAAATCAAATCAGCGTCCTAGTAGCAGACTACCAACAGTCTGGGCCCATCGAGCTCGGCAACACAGAGGCCAGCAGCGCCAGTACCAGGCCCACAGCAATGAAGGCGCCGGCGAAGTCACCGAACTGCCACCCGTGTCCTGCCCGAGCTCAGAGGTAAAGAAAAGACAAGCTCGAACGAGGTAAAAGCTGCCCCTATTCTCTCAGTTCCTTCCCCCCTCTCATCAGAACTCCTTGCAGTCCCTATGCCCAGAGACGTCAAGCTCCCCCCTCTAGACAAGTATGATGGGTCCTTCGACCCCAACGACCACGTCGATGCCTTCCAGTCCCAAATGCACCTAGCCAAGGCCAGTGAATCGTGCATGTGTGTGGCCTTCACCACCACCTTCAAGGGGGTGGCCCGCACTTGGTACAGGAACCTGGCCCCCGAGTCAATAAGAAGCTGGACCCAGTTCGTGCAGGTTTTCACCGCACACTTCGTTACCAGCAAGAGGTGCCCCAGAACCGAGGAAAGCATCTTCGGAGTAGTCCAGAGGGAAGGAGAGTCCATCCGGGGCTACATCAAGCGGTTCAATGACGCGTGCTTGCAGATACCGCGATTGGACCCCGCGGTGCATCTCACGGCGGCCAAGAGAGGAGTAACACACAAGAAGTTCAAATGGCACATGGTAGCTAACCAACCCGCGACCGTGGCCGAATTCCTCAAGCTCACAGATAAGTTCATGAGAACAGAGGAAGAGATCAACCAAAGGACCGAAAGCGGGATCGAGAAAAGAAGAGGGAAGGCGAGCCCTCCAACCCAGTTGACAGAAGAAAAAACCCGGCCCGGGAGACGAAGCCGAGCCAGCCGTTTCGAGCTCTCTTAGCAGCTCGAACGAACTACACACCGTTAAACACGAGGCGGACCGAGATCTTGATGACGATCAAAGACGCCCCATACGTAAAATAGCCACCTCGCCTAAAGGGGAACCCAAACGAGAGAAATAAAAACTTGTAATGTAGTTTCCATAGAGATCACGGTCATAGTACCGAACAGTGTAATAATCTCCGGGACGAGATAGAAGGACTCATCCATCGCGGATACTTGAGAAATTTCGTACAGCATAATAATAATAATAACAATAAGGCAGGTCGGCAAGGGGAGCACGGAAGGGATGCCCCCGAATCCAGCAGCAGGCCAACCGAACCGTTGCAACGACAGCCTCCGGAAGAGAGGCCAGTTCGGGGAACCATCCATGTGATAGTGGGAGGTTCGGTGGTAGCAGGTTGTACCTCGACAGCGGCCCGGACGTTAGTTCGCGAAGCAGCCCGAGAAGAACAGAACCCTCCAAAGAGGTCGAAGACTGAAGAACCGATCTTCTTCATGGAAGACGATGTGCGAGGGGTCCACTACCCCCACGATGACGCGCTTGTCATAAAACTAAGGATCAGCGACTTCAAGGTCAGGCGCGTACTTGTGGATTCGGGTAGCTCGGCAGACATCCTCTTCAAGTCGGCGTTTGACCAGCTGCAGTTGCAGAGAAGCGAGTTGAAGCCCGCGAACACTCCTCTGGTGGGCTTCAGCGGAGAGGAAGTCAGGCCCCTTGGGAAAATAACAATACCTGTGGAAGTCGGCACATGGCCTTGTGCGGTCAGACTCAGCCATGATTTCCTGGTGGTCGCGACCCCTTCCCCATACAATGCCATAATAGGGCGGCCAGTTATGCATATCCTACGGGCAGTGGTCTCCACCTACTATTTGGCAATGAAGTTCCCTACAGACTTCGGTGTGGGGGTAGCACGGGGCGACCAGTTTGAGTCCCGCAAGTGTTATGTTGTCGCCCTGAAGGGAAAAACCAAGGCGGCCGACGACCTCGAATTGGAGCGGCCTGCGGAGCAAGGCGAGGAACGAGCTTCGCCCACAGAGGAAACGGTCGCAATCCCAACTTCGGCTACGGACCTGGCTCGAACACTACAGATCGGTGCTTCCGTCAAGGAACCTCTACGAATCG